CACATTTAAAACATAAAAAAACGTTATCAGTTATCACTGATAACAAGCAACAACTATAAAACTGCACAAGTTTGAAGACACCAGTGCTAATCATGTATACCAGGAAGTAGCAACATACTATTAAAAGGGCTAATTTTTGGCATATTCAAAAATAATGTCAAAACAATAAATAAGACTATAGAAGGTAAGAACTTACCCACATAGGGGTGATATAAACTGAAAGCTCATCGAAGAATGGTAGGAAAGAAGCTTTGAAGGTTTTAATCAAAGTACCCAAGCAATCGCCAACCTGAAAAAGGACACATGCAACATACTTCACATTCCTCATCATATATTTATATAAACAGGAAAGTGCATTAGCATAAATGTGCCACAATAAATCAAGAAAATAAAGCAGCTTTAGTATTTCATGGACAGACCTGATCAAATAGTTCCTCCTCCTGTTCATTTTCTTCTTCAAGTAATTCCCCTTCCTCAGCATCAAAATCTTCCGCCTTGGTCCTCTCTGATCTTTCTCTTTTTCGGGTTGTACTTGCAGTTATGACATGCTTGATCTCATCTACAATGCTTCTAACCTGGGCTTCATCAAGAAGTGGTCCAGAAAGCTGAAATGAAAATAGGAAACAGATAAGGTCCCAACTTGTAATGGATTATAGAGCAAATAGAAACATTTTATGCTTAGGTTGTTTCCATGTGTTAAAAAGATAAAGAGAAGGGAAAAACTTATGTCCAGTACACTTAAGCAGCAGCATAGGGGAGCTAATAAATAATTAAGAAAATTCTGAGATGTCCAGCCAGATGCATTAATGTAGCTGTGAAGTCAAATAGTAGAAAGAAATCTACCAGTCCCAAAGAAAATACAGGGGGGTGATTTTGAAAAACAATTTTAACAGTTTGTACAACTCCTTCAGTTGGTTCTGGATTAACAACAAAAATGTACGTAATAGATGATAAAAACATAATTGTAGTTCTGTTGCATCCCATCCCGAAGCTAACAAATATAATACCAATAATACGTACAACGATGGAATGAGAAATTTAAGTTTGATTAAAAAAACTAATAAGCTAAGGAAAAGTCGAACCTGTATGCATTCATTCAATGAATCCAGCATGCTTGCACAAATTTCTGTCTCAGGCTCCTACAGAAGATATTGTGTAAGAAAATTTAATTCCATTATAGAAATATTAACATGGTTAACTTAAACAAATTAGTGACCTTATGCAAAGCTTCAACCAGTCCTGGAATTATATAATCAGATAATTGTTTCACATATGATCCATCACGACCTTGAGCTTGTCCCTTTTCTACCGCTAACTTAGCAGAACGCAATAGCTCCGGCATAGCTGGAGACAGAAGAATTCCTTATAAAGCTTAGAACCGTGCAATCCTACAAAGCAAAGAATATTAAAACTTAATCCTACCTGAAACTGCAGCCTTCCTAACCTCCTCATGAAAATAAAATTTGAGCAGAGGCACCAAAGTTGGAGCAACCTACATTCAGTATCAAGAAAAAATATTAGTTTTAGGGCGAAGGAGTTGATTGCATGTGTATTGCCACTTTACATAATCAAATGTAATAAAGACAACCTAATGGTTGTGACCAACCTGATCAATCCATGGGTAGAAACCCTCTTTGAGTTCATCAGCATAACAGCAAAGCATATTGCATGCTGTGGCTTTCTCTTCCAATACACTAGTTCTAATACCAATCCTTTTGTCTCCAAGAGTGATAGTCTCAATGCTGCATCACAATCATATACCTCTAGTAAGTGTTGTGCAAAACAGTAGAAGTATCCAATTGAACTATGCAGCTGTCCGGTGCTGGGATGATGTTTTCGTGAGAAAGAACCATGCAAAAGACTCCAAAGAAATAAATAAAGAGAGCAGAGAGCAGTGTCAAGAATGATATGCTTAACTTCATAGTAGGTACAGTTTAACTATGACAACTTACATCATTACATATTTCGCTTGGCTTTCTATCAGGTGACAACGTTTACAATTCTTTCGATATTGGTGTTTGGATGATCACCTGATTTGGCTATAACATCAAATTATTGGTATACACCAAACTAAAAATTACTACAAGATCGTAAGCTTTTTAATATTAAAAACAGCAACTTTTTTAAGTGAAGCATGAGTTGCTTGTGAACTACATGATTTTTACCATTCCTGCCTTAAAAAATTGGTAAAAGAAAAGATAAAATGCAGCTGAAAGCAATTGGTACTTAGCTTAAAATGACCATTCAAACTGCATTGTTAGACTCTAAGTAGCCAAAACCAACTAAATCTAACAATAACTGTTTCAAATACATCAGTACTTACCAAAAAAAATTATCATCCTGAGATCACTTGGGCGAGAAACTCATAAATTGTCACATATAATATAATATCTGATAAGAACTAGAAAGTGGGGGCGACAAACAAAAATGTTATCCATGATATCTGATAAAACTATGAAGGGTAGAAATAAGATATAACCATAGGAAGGTAATATCACTTTGATTACAAACGACCTTCATCATCAAGTTAAATTCAGTAAGAAAGGTGATATATCTATGTCAAAGAAATGTTTTAAGTACATAATGTACCAGATCAGATGAGAATCAGTTTACTACCTTATGTCTATTAGAAATTGCCAATGAAATACTAAGAGGTTTATTCAATCAAAAACAAACCTTTCATCGTCTGATTCATCAATGTCATCATCAGAATCTGCAGAGGTTATGGTTACATCTGGTTTAAGGTGAGCAGACTGAAGAAGTGGAGGCATAACAACACTCATGTAGGGAAGAAAATCTTGACCTAGACACTTGCAAAGTCTAGCCCATGCCTATTGAAAGGAATAAGAATTAAAACAAGGGAAAGATGAAAGTATCCACAATAAAGGTAACAGATTTGGTGACATTAACATACTTGTAGCATGTAACTTGTTATTGGATCATCTGCCTCCATTTGAGATCCTTGTAGTGACATCAACACTTCCATAACCTATCAAAATCAAAGATTCAAGAATAAATGATATTACTCTGCTGAACAATTACAAAATAATAACAAAACATTGATGACCATGTCAACAAAAGCTTTTAGAACAGTAGAGCAGGATCAAATAAAGCAGGAATCATGAACCCCGATCGGAGCTTTTAGGATTCAGTTTCCACTTTCCACGTATGACCAAACCCATAAAACAAAAGCATGAAGAATAACAAACTGTCCAACAAAGCTAACAGCGTACTATTTGATGCACACCTAACAAGAAAACAGTTGCAGAATAATTGAATATACAAGTAATATGCAGATCATGACTAACAACAGTAGTTCTAAAATCATCTAGGATCTCATACCACACCTTTTGAAAATGATAATTGCAGGAGCAATATGGAGGAAAGAGAAGCCAGTACCTGTTTAGCATCATCCCTGAACTTCTCCTTCCCCACAGCCATGCCCACCAAACTAATACACTCCATGGATTTAGCACGTAGCATACGATTGGACTTGTCAGTTGCATTCATCAAAATAGCCTTCAGATAAGGCATGACAGCATCGTAGTATTTCTGGAAGTGTTCCTGCACACATATGTGATATAAAGAAGTCAATGAAAGAAATATAAAATAAACAGTAAAAATCTGTAATACTTTTTATCCAATATACCTGAGAAGAATCTGCAACAGATGCCAAAGCTGTTAAAGCTCCCTCTTGTACCATCTGTTTCCCATTCTAGAAAAAAAAAAGCAATGTTTTAATATATGTTGGACACTTTACGACATCCATATTCCAGATGAACAAATAACAATTTGGAGTTGGAGGAATAGATAAAATAAAACTGCATACCTGTAGCAAAACAAGCAATTTGCTAACAATTCCATCCAAGTATGGTGTCAGAATATCAGGTGTGCAGTTCTCGCTGAAATTCAGAACAGCTGAAGCAGCATGTGCCTGTTGAGTTAATATACAGTAGAAGGTCAGTGAAAATATTGACAACATAAAGAAGCAGGTCACACGTCAATATCCAAAGAAAGCAACTTCTGGAAAGCATTGATAACAAAAACTTTATTACATAATGAGAATTGGAAACAAAGGTAGACTTTAAGGAGAAAACTCTACATATGAAGGTAAGTACAAAATGATATGTAAGCATTAAGACCCAACAGACTCTTAGTAGAAATTAACAAGAAACTAACAACTCATATGAGCCAAATTAAGTTTTTTCATATCAGGAAATATACTTGCAGAAGAAAACTGTGAAAGAACTTTACAGAGCAAGTAGAATAAGGGGAAGACAAAATAGAGCAATGACATGATGCTAGAAGAGTAGAGTATTTCTAATGGAAGCAGAAAGACAGGAGAACCATGCTAGACTTTCAAGAGTTTCCCACTGTTTGCATACTCCCCGAAATTCTGATTCGGGTCTTAGCATTGCCTTCAAGAGATCTAAAGCTTAATCCTTAAGACAGGAAATAGATGACTAGTTTGGAACAAGCTTATAAACTTATTATGGAGAATCACTGCTATTTAGAGTTCAGCCTTCGAAATGCAAGGTATGAGAGTTGTGGTAGACAGAGGTGAACATAAGATTACACAATTCTAGAATTTATATAGCTAGCATAAAAATGAATAATCTTGAGTCAGATAACTTGTGTTGAACCTCCAAATGAGATAATGGTGAAGATGTGTGAATGTCGGGAAAATGATATAAATTGTGAGAGAATCTTCATGCCACTATTACAAAAGAGACAATCAGGAGCTGGTCAAAATGTAAATAACATAGTCAAAATTCTAAAGGGATGCTCCTGGACATTACTATAACAAAAATTGGTGATTGAAATTGGTACCCAAGATAGCAATCTAACTACTTATGAGTGACGAAGTCTAAGCCAAAAAGGGATAGTGGCACAAATATTATGTCATCCTTGCACATCCCTACAAGGATGAATCTAAATCAGGGCCTCCCTCATTGTTTTGTTACTCTAATATAGTAATATTTCCAAATTCCAGAAAATAACTTGTGTAAAAGGCTTTCTTGACCTTTCTATAAACCACTAAACTCGCATCTCATCATATCTACTTTAAAAATGAAAACTTCAGAAATTTGATATTAAAAACTAAATTAGAATAGAATGCTTCTGGATTGTGAGAAAAATATAAGTTGGACCTCGTTAATACTTGATCCAGATCAACTTAAATTTGATGAATAAAGTCATTCTTGGATCGTGGAATTCTTTGTTTAAGCAAGGCATAAACTCCCAAAAGGAATTTGATGAATAAAGTCATTCTTGGATCGTGGAATTCTTTGTTTAAGCAAGGCATAAACTCCCAAAAGGTTTAGCCTGAACTTGGATTTGAAGAACCAACTCCCAAAAGGTTTAGCCTGAACTTGGATTTGAAGAACCATAAATTCCTCCATTAAAGCATGGAATCCGGAATGATTATCTTTGTAACAAAGTTTTGGAATTCATGCTTCCTCTCCCTAAAGTTTTTCTACTATGAAGGAAAGTAAACTAATGCAATCCGTAGTAGTAATTATTTTATATTAATAAATAGCAGTATTAACTTACATGCTTGTTCTTCGATGAGATGCTTCCTGCATTTAAAAAATGATTGATAAGGAAGAAGACATCATTTCATAAACAAGTGCATTTAAACTAGGACATGTTATAGCTCACTTTATAAACTGAAATGAAATATGTGATGTTAGTTGTATTTGCATAACCCAAAGTATTGACAATTTAAATTCATGCTAGGGGTCTTATTGTTTCTCCATATAATTTTGGGTCATCCTAATTTATCTATGCTTTTGATAAATTATTGTTAAAGCTACAAACCATTTCATTGGGCTCTTTGGCATAAATCAGAAAAGAATCTATGGCTTCACAATGTCCTTCAGTTCTAGATTTCACCTCTTACAAAGAAGTTAGCCCATTTTGATAGTCCATGAACACAGCTTAAACAATCAGACTGCAAACACATTCCCCACACTTGACCTTCTAATATCCAGTCACATCAACATCACCTGGGTTAGATGAATTTAGGACTGGTGTAGGTTTAAGACCCTGGTGAAACTTTTTTGCAATTTAAGAGCATATTTAGAAATTTAATTATAATCTACCTTTGAAATATAATCCGCTTTTGCATGTCTAGTGACCACATTTTGAGTGGATTATTTTGGATTATAATCCACATGTTTGACCAAGTAAATGAACCAAATGACTAATCACTTTTTTCACATAAATTTCTTTTTTCCTTCCCTCTCTTCCCACTTTTAAGGGTTGTTTGGTCATTTTAACAAAACACACATGGATTATGGACCACCCTCTTCATCAAGCACCTAAGATTTTAACCCATTTGGGTTATAATCTATCATCTATGGCTCACAGGTTTATAACCCAAGTGACTTGTAATCTAGGATTGCCAAACATGCCCTGAAAATAGCTTCCAACATGCAGTTCACCTAAAATGCACCCTGTTCCTACTTTAACTGTTAAGACACATATTACATAATACATAAAAGGTACTTAAATTCACTTATTCATGATGTTCAAAAACCAATTTTGCTCTTCTCGGTATGTCAGCCTCTACAGCTGACCAACTATGATACAGAAAAGCAAATATCACTATGACGCTTTTGCAATTCTATGTCCAGGCATAAGTAGTTATGGACTATAATCTTATTCAACATGTGATTGACATGTGATAGGATCCATATTTTAATATTTATATATGTGAACTCTTCTATTTTCGCAGAACATATATTTAATAAAAATAAAATGGCGCAAGCTCACATTTTAACCAGGAAATTCCCAAAACTTTAAACTGAGAACAGGTACACAATTTGGACAGATTTAGAAAAATACTTCTCATTACAACATCCAAGTTTCTTCACTTACGAAAATGTGCTTACGAATAGAAAATTCAGGAAAATATAAAATTAGATTCCACGCCCTCATTTCAGATTTGACTCTGTACTGAAACTGCCCTCATTTCAGCTCCGACTCTACAGTGGAAGATATTAACATGGTACTCGAACTAGATGTTTGGATGCACACCAAACCCACTCGATCCAATCGCAAATATAATGCAAAACATGACTAAATAGACAAATTCTAATCCAGTATATAAAAACTATAAAATATATTAGTGGAAGATATTTAACATGATAGTAGAACAAGATGGGCGCACACTAAAACTCACTTGATCCAATCTCATCTACCATGCAAAACATAATAAAATATACAAATTCAGTCAGGTATATTAAAACTACAATATGCACAAATTCCAATTCGGTATAGTAGAACACCATGAATTTTATATCGTTAGTCTGCATGTGCAGCAACTCTTCTCAGTTAAACCAAAAGTATGCATAAATCAGGACGCACCAACTTGAATATAACTGAACATGGATATTGTTCATAAATTTGTCCTACCAGCATCAATGGAGAAACAGAATGGCAAAGTACAAACTCAAACATGTACAATATGGCAGTAGACCTCAAACATTGTAATTACAAACATATTTTCATAAGATTTCATAACAATATGAATTTACTTGCCTGCACACGAGGGTTCTGGAAATCATCCATCGCAGATGCCAAAGCAGGTAGCACCCTCTGGTGGTACTGCACTTGTAAATCCGGACCCAAATCCGTAGAAAGCTGTCCAATGGCATTAATCGCTGCCCATCTCACTCTTGGATGTGGATCTTGAAATGAGTTCAAGACCATGTTCACCACTTGCTCCAAATTCTTAATCATGACCTACATAACAGACACAGCATAAACTATATACTATGTTTTCAAAAAAGCACCAAGTTCTCAATCAATAATCAATTTAAACTTCCAGTTACCTTTGAACAACCTTCTGCAATCTGTGCAAGTGTAATCAAAGCAGCATGATGTTTCTGCCACTCGGGAGCTGCCAGATAAGCCGGCAGCAACTCCGATGCAACAGGAACAATTGTATTTCCTCCGAGAGCAATTGAGATTCTATCCAAACACTCCTGTCCGACACTGTAATTGCTCGTCTCCCCTGCATCCTCATCCTCTGCCTCCGCAGAATGCCACGCTGGCTCATCCTCAATATCCAGCAGCATTTTCATCAGCACCCCAAACAACCTACCGATCTCTCCCTTGCCTCTGCCAGCGTAATCACAAACTCCACGGCCAAATGCCTTGTCCCCTCCTCTAACCCATCGGCCTCTGCAATCTGGAGCATAGCCCCAATAACATCAGGCAGCTGCCTCCTCAAAAACCTTGGCTCAGTGCCCGCAAGCTCAATAAGCAGCTCTAAAGCCTCCTGTGCAGTTGCCTCCTGCCCCGAATTCAATGACTCTGTCAATGTCCTCATCATTGCCGGCAACAGATCCTGGAACTTATCCCTATCTGAAGCCAAAGCCAAGCACTGGATGAAGTTAATCGAAGCCCCAAGCGAAGCAATGCGTACATCCGCCGAGCTCGAGTGAGTCAACGACTGCAGAAACACATCATGGAGAGTTTGAAGATGTGGAAGCAGCAAATCCCCAATATACTGAGCCAGCTGCGAGAATATCAACAAAGAGCTCTCCTGAAGCCTCGCATTCTCCGAAGTCACCGCTTGAAACATGAACGGCAGCAACTCAGGCCACGCATTATCCGGCAACAGATTCGATGCAAGCTCCGAGACAGTATCACAGAGCTTCTTCGATATCGACTTCACCTCCTCGCGCTGTACCGACGATAAAAGCATCGATTTCAGTTCAAGCTGCGTCTGCGAGGTGAGCCTCGGCCAGAGATACGCCGGCTGAGAGTCTCCGGAGGAGGACGAGGAGGTCAACTGCTTCCGGAGTAGGATCGCCGACATGGCACGGATCTCGATGAGGGTTGACGATTGAAGAAGATGAGCGAGTTTTAGGGCTAGGTTATCTGGATGTTGGTCACGAACGAAGTTGAAGATTGACTCGGCGTGAGATCGCTGGTCGTTGGCGGTGGCCATCAACTGAGAGATCAGAGCTTGGAACGGGCCGAGATCGCTGCCCAGGATCGCCTGCAACTGATTCTGATCCATCGGAGGAGATGGAAGAAGACGATGAGGGAGATGGGGGCTAGGGTTTTCGAGGGGGTGAGTAGGAAAATTGAGTTTTTGGATGGGGCTTTTTATTGTTAGGGTTTGAGGGGAAATAATTGAGGGGTTTGGGCTTTTTGATTGGGGTTGGCACTAGCTGTTGGAGGGGAGATATGAACTGGTGCGAGTGGATGGGGTTTTTGGATCTGCTGTTTTCGGGTGGATTGCTGTTTTCTGTTTTGTTTGTGCTGACGGCGTGAGCTCACTGGGCTGAAGCTATCGGGTGATGATATGCTGCCACGTGGAGAAATATGGGTGGTTGCTGTTTCGAGTTGCGCCCGACGAAGAGAGGGATGAGATTCTTTCTTCCTTTCTTTCATGGGTTTAATTAATGATAATAATTGTAATGATGATGGTGATTAGCGATTTTATTTGTTTAAGGGGAGGGAAGAGATGAAAACTTCTTTTTTCCTTTTCATCAATGTTTTGTTCGGATGGGGGTAAATGACCAGTAGAGGATGGAAGTTAAATTATTCGCATTGTTTGGGAGTTTTTTTAAGAGAATGGAGTGGAAGAGAAGTAACAAAGTTTACATTGGTTAATCTTTATTCTATATAATTTAGTTACCCCAAATTGGGATGTAGAGTAAGTTAAACACTTTAGAAGTTCACAGTGCATATTTAGGTCATGTTTGGTTTGAAGGAAAGTAGAGGAAAGGAAAAGAAAGTACAATAGAAAGTATCTTTCCCTTGTTTGATTTGAAAGAAAATGAAAAAGAAAGTAAATGTTAAAATCACCGTAGAAAGTCTCATTTATTCCCAGTTCTCTTCCCCTTTCTAGACTCAAACAGAGCGAAAATGAGAGAGAGTGAGAGAAAATCTCGCCCAACAACTCCTTGAAAATTCCCGACTCCATCCCCGACCTCGTCGACTCCATCCTCGGTAAGATAGTCGTAGCCCCCGTCGTCATCATCGCCATGGCCACCGCCGCCTCCCATCTCCTCTTCTCCCCTCTCTTTCAACCTCGCCAGAACCCCCCAACATCGCTGCCACCTCCGCCTCCCCTCGATCTCTATCCCCACCACCAAAATTACCACCCTACCCCTCACCCGCTCCTTAAACTCTAAACGCTCTCCGAGACAATCTTCTCCGGATCTAGATCGCGATAACAGAACAACAACAACAATGGATTCTGGATCCGAGCGTAACAACCGTGGCGAGCGGGCGATCGCCTCGGCGGATGATCACAAGTCGTCCAATGGTCCATTGGACCCCATCAGAATGTTCCTCAGTGGATGGAGAGCTAGGGTTTCGGCCGACCCGCAGTTCCCCTACAAGGTTCTAGTGGAGGAGCTCGTCGGCGTCTCCGCCTGCATGCTCGACGACATGGCCACTCACCCTAAATTCGGCCTCAATGAGCTCGACTTCGTCTTCTCCACCCTCGTCTTCAGATCGATCATCAACTTCACGTTAATGTACCTCGTCTCGCCTCCGCCGCCTCCGCCTCTACTGTCAGTGCTGCTGCCTCCTCCCTCCCCTCCTACATTTTCGAGCCTGGATCTTACGCTCTTTCATTAAGAATCATCACTTTGATCAATAAAGGGGCCACATTTGCTGCTGTTTGGTTCATCGCTAGGCTTGTAGGGATTGCAATCACGAATAGGCTGATTATGTTAAGGAAGAGGATGGACCCGGAGTTTGTGTCCCCCAACAAGCCGCCGCCCACGTTGCTGAATGCGATAACTTGGGTTGCGCATATAGGAGTCAGTAGCAATTTGAGGTACCAGACGCTGAATGGTTTGGAGTTTGTGTTGGGGAAAGTGTTGTCTCCAACTCGTTTTAAGGTTTCGGTTGTTGGGTTGAGGTGCTTGAACAGTGTACTTGGTGGGATATCGTTTGTGTTGCTTGCGAGGACGACAGGGTCTTAGAAGGTGGAGGAGAAGAAGGTTGAGGTGGAGGAGAGCTTGATTATGGAGAATGCGATGACGGATAGCAGGGTTGATGAGCGGCCGAGCAATTGAGGCTTATTTTCTGAATTTGGTTTTAGTTTAGAAATGAAAATTTGGACATCGCAAAGAGGAACGTTTCGGCTCTGTTAAGGGAGTGTAGTGTAAAGTAGGCATGTCCATCCGGACCAGGCCCGACCCAAAAAACCGGGCTCGGGCCGGGCAAAATCGGAGCCCGAACCCGGACCCGGTTGCCCCGGGCTGGCCCAGGTTTTCTTAGTTTTTTAATTTTTTAAAATTTTCAAGAATACAAAGCAAAAAATATACACAATTGTGATAAAAAAAATTATATTATTAATTAATTGTAATTATGTAATTTACAAATATAAAAATTTATAGAAATCAAAATGATAAAATAATATAAAATAATTGTAGAATTTACAGAAACAAATAAAATTAAAAATAATTGTAGAATTCAAAGAACTCAAGAGGCCTAAGGCCCAATCAAAGACTTCTAAATATTATGTTGTGGCTAGGATTTGATCTACTAATCTCCTCTCCAAATCTAAATTTTAACACTAGACTAAGCACACACACACACACACACACACACACACACACACACACACACACACACACACACATAAATAAATTATACATAAAGTAATTTTATACACAGACACACACAAGTTTTGGTTTTATAGTTTACAAGTTTATATAAATATGAAACCTATATTATTGTTTACATATATATATATACATGTTTCATATTTATCATTTTGTTAAATGCATATTGTGCAAAACTTCATTTTTGCATAATATTGAGTTTTTAGTTTATAGACTTAACAACAATAGTTTGTATCTTTTATCAAGTCTATAAAATCAGTTTATAAAGTTTTTAAAACATGGTTTAGTTAAAATGACAAAACAAGTATGTTTCATTTTCATGTTTTGAACCATTTTGTAAAATGAAGAGATTTCTCAAATGGGAAGTGCTTTTTGAAAAACATGTCTATAATTATTTTCCAAAGTTTTATATTTTTCTGAATTTATTTGATATTTTTAAACCATGTTTTAAGTTGACATGTACTTTTTAAAACAGGCTGTATGCATGTCTTGAGTCGACTTATGAACAGTGTTGAGTCGACTCATAAACTGTTGTGTAGTTTACATTTTGTTTCTGATGAGTCGACTCATAACATCATGAGTCGACCCAGACAGGTTGAGTCGACTAATGCCTGTCATAAGTTGACTCATAAACTGTACTGGAAAGTGTGTTTTGTTTCTGATGAGTCGACCCATGACTTCATAAGTCAACTCATGCACGATGAGTCGACTCATGAATTTTATGAGTCGACCCATAAGCTGTTTTTAGCTGATAACGACTAGGTTATGAGTTGGCCCATGATTTTTATGAGTCGACCCATAAAGTGTCCGTTGCACAGTAACGGCTATTTCCAGATTCTGTTTTTGTGTGGGTTTTTGGTCATTTCCTTAGGGTTTTGGCTGATGTATTGGGTTGCTATAAATACCCCATTGCATTTACCTCTCCCACCTTACAAGAGGAAAGTTTTTAAACAAGTTTACAAGGGTATTAAGATTGGTTTTAGTTTGTTTTAAGAGTTTAGTTTGTGAAGAGAATTTCACAAGAGCTTGAGGAAGATCATCTATTGGTGTTTGAGCATTCAACTCTTCTCTCTCTCTCTCTCTCTTGATCTATAGAGAAGTTTCCTTGAACTCTGTCACACCCCGCTTCCTAAAATATCAGGGAATCGGGATGCGAGCAAGGCCGCGACATATTAGACTGAGGAGAGATAAGTACTAGACCCCGTCTTCTTAATCTAATACGCTAAGCATCAAGAAATATAAAGCGAAGGCACAGGTCCCCGATCACAGTAGCGAGAATATAATAAACAATACAGAACAGAAAATATACATATCGCAACTGAACATCATCCCAGACATAATAATATTCAGGTCAACACGCCCATATACAAAACGATCTGAATGAAATACTGAAAAGTATAATATACATCGATCAGATTGAAAGGAAAGTGCTACAAAATTAAACAAGGAACATCGAACAACTAAATTAAATAACTACGCTTTGACTTTTGGATCATCTGGCTCTGGCATATCTCCCAGCTGGACATGTCCATCCTCTAAATCTGACGTACACCAGAGAAAACAGGTGTACGTCAGCGTGCATGGCATATGGCAAGATCCCACAAAACGAATGGAACAATCGAAAACCCAAGCGGAAAACGATGCAATAACAGAGATGACAAAGAAACATGCAACGGGAAATCCAATAAAATCAATCAAGCAACAAGATCATGCAGCTAGGGATCAGAATAATCATCCAAGTAATAGGGTCATACACTAGATGGAATTGATGCTTAAAAACCTACAACCCGAGACGTAGTACGTCGAGCGAAATAATCCAAACAAGGAAACCCTCATGTATATACCATATGTCTCGAATTGTAGATAATTAAATATTAATCCCGATCTATGTATGAAAAGAAGCATAACTGGTTTGTATCTCACAACTCGTAATCATCCAAGTAACAATGTTAGGTAACTGGTCCGTATCTCACAAACAACTCATAATCATCCAAGTAACAATGTCATGTAACTAGCTATTTTATAATAGGACACTGCTACATATCTCACACAGAGTCAACGCTCCTGTCATCAGATATTGACTGTTCACAAATCCCCTACGTGCACCCAATACGCCGCTACACTGGATCGGTCAGAGGGCTACACACAATCTGATTCTGACCTGGTTCAAACTCAAGCAAGAATCAGGTGAATATTAAACTCATTGACCAAAGTGACTACGCTGGCTTCACTTTGACCCAACAAACTAACCTCAAGCTACACATGATCGTGGGGCGAGCCTGGAAGATACATCAATAGCTATATCCGATCACATGAACATGGACTTCCCCATCCCAACTCTTCTTATTTTTCTAAATCGACGGTCGTATTCTACACTGAAACTCTGGTTCACCACATAAACTCAGTCAACACATCGGCACATGTCACTAGGTCTATTCATGACGCACGAGGCCACTAAGTCATGAACTACTAAGGTTCTCAATCACAACAAGTAGATAATAAATACAAACGATCTGGCACAATGATGACATGGCACATCACGTAATTAAAATGAGAATCA